AGGTTGTACAGCGCCATGGCGTCACCGCCCTCCGCCGCCACCTGGAACGCGCGGTACGCCGACGCCTCGTCGCGCGCCACGCCGCGCCCCACCAGCCGCCGGTACCCCAGGCGACGCTGGAGACAATCGATATCGGGAGCAGGCAGGCAGGGGTGTGGAGGAGCGGAGTGAGGTGGGGGCGCGTGGTGGAGGGACCGGAACAGGGCCGGGGCCGTGAGGAGGACGAGGGGGCCGGGCCGCGCGCGGATGCAAGCGGCGGCAGGGCCCGCTGGCTGAGGGCGAGCGCATCCCGAGACGCGCTGCGCATGGCCCGCCTCCACAAGCGACCACGCCCTGCAGCCGGCGGCCACGCCGCAGGCCCGCCCTCGCGTCGCACGCCACCCATAACCGTCGCGGGTGCCCTCCTGCTCATCCACACCGTTGCCTTGCCCTCGCCCACACCCTTGCGCGCTGCCCGCCGCTCGACAAGCACCCGGTGCCATGACAGCGCCGCCCTCCCCTCCCCTTGCGCGCACGTCCTCAGCTTGCCACCGCAAAGGCACTGCAACGTGCGTGGGTCCGCACGTCCGCATACCCACGCAAGCGTCGGCGTTTCTGCGCTCCCAGGCCCACCTGTGCCTGCGCGTCCCCCCTGAAAGCTGCGTCCTCCTCCATGCGCACGACATCATCCACGTCGTCCCAATTCAGGTCCACCTGCGGCGCCTGCGCGTCCGCCCAGCGCTCCCGCAGGCGCACGGGCGCGGCGGGCAGATGGAAGTTGCTGCCGTCCTGCGGCGCAGCGCGTTGGGGGCAGGTGGCGGGGATCTAGGTGGGCGGCCATCGGGCTGAGGGCGTTCAAGGCAGAGCTTCACTTGTGGCGGTCCTGTGCAGGGGCCAGCTGCAGGTGTCGCATCCTGATACGATACAAAGTGTACGAGTCGCTGTTTTGGAAGCCGCCAAAGTTCGCTGCCGCAGAGCGCCGCGGCGGCTCCGGAGGAGAGGGGTCGCGTGCCGCCCCGGCGGCGGCGGCCCCGCAAAGCAGGAACCCCTTTGCTGCTTCATGTGGCGGCTGCGCGCGACGCCACCAGAGAGCAACCCGCACGCCCGCGCCTGCCCACCCCCCCCTTGCGCGCGCGGCCGCGAGGGAGGGGCGAGGCGAGCGCAGCGCACCTTCTCCACGCGCGCCGCCACGGCCGCGGCCGCAAGCCGCAGGTGCCGCAGCCCCTCGCCGCAGCTGGGCGCGAGGCCGCGGCCCATGAGGTAGCGGTCCGCCAGCGCCAGGTGCGCCTCGGTGCTGTTCGCAGCCGCCGCGCGCCGCAGCAGCCCCACGACGCCTGCACTTCCGCCACCGCCGCTGCTGCTGCCGCCCTCTGCGTCCCCGAAGAGCTGCGGCGCGGCGCCTAGCGCGGCCAGGAGGTACGTGGCGCGCGCCTCCGCCTGCAGCTCCGCCATCGCGGCGCCCGCCAGCGGCGCGGCGGCGTGCGCGGCGAGCGACGCGTCGAGGCGGGCGCTCAGCAGCCGCAGGCCCGCAGCGGCGGCGGGGATGTCGCGGCGGCCGGCGGGGCCGAGGCCCAGGAGGGACTCGCAGCGCTGCAGCCTGTTGGGCGTGCGCGAGCGGCAGGCGCGGCGGGGCGCGCAGTTTGAGGGGAGGCGGGCGGGGCGCCTGGCGAATGTCGTCAGACGTGAGGCGGCTGCCGGGATCCCTCAGGTCATGGCGGGGCGCTTCGGCGCGCACCTGCTGTGCATGCATAGCCAACCAGATGGCAGGGAATGCTAGCGCAGCGCGCGTGGCCGCGCGGGTTGCACGAGAAAGGAGGTGCATGCGTTCAGCAAGCAAGTAGAGACCTACATGACTGTGGAGCGTTGTGCGGCCTTTGTGTGCTCCAGCGCCGCCACTCCGGCCAGCTCTGGCTGCTGCGCTTGCTGCTGAAGCTGCTGCAGGTTGTCTCGCCATCCATCACCTGCCCCGCCACCGCTTGCGCCGCTCTCAGGGGCGGCTGCATCACGCAGCGAGCCATGAGCACCTGCAGCGCGCGCGGGTGCAGGTGCAGTGCGATCGAGTGATGTGCGCGCCGCAGCATCAACAGCAAAACTGAGAAGCAATACGATCCTGCAACTTACCAATTACCAGACCCCCCGTCCACGTAGCAAGGCACACAACCAGCAGCACGCCCGCTGCCTGCGGTCCGCGCATCACGGCTGTTCGCGCTGCATGCCAAACATATGTTTGTATTCTTTTGTCCTCTAAGCTTGGATGCTTGGGTGGTTAGAACGGTAGATCAAGTGATGACGCTTGTCCCAACGTTTCAACGTGCAAAACAAAGCCAATCATCATACATGACACGGATGATGATGTAGCGGTATACGGTAAAACAAGCGTGCTGGGCGCCAAGTGCGCCGTCCGTCCTGCAGACCGGGTACCTGCAAATGAGCCAAGGTTGAAAAGTGAGTCGCGGACAGCTGGCTGCCATACAAGGAACATGGATGCCACGTCAATCATCAATCCTGCAGTGCCCTTGATGCCACAGGATAGTGTTTGTTCCATCCGCGAAAGGGGTGAGCGCAGTGTCTGAGCCGACGTTGTGTTGCATGTTGGAAGGCTCTGAACAAGATCCCCCCAGCCGGCAATGCGAGCGGTCCGCTGCACTGCCAATTGGACGGCGGCAAGAATGGCATTGCTGCAGAAGGGGCTGGGGAGCGGTCGTGCAGCGACAGCCTGTACAGTGACACCGTGCTGCCAATTAATTAACCACCTGCTCCTGCAGCTCCTGGTGCGGCGGCGGCCTGTAACGCCGTGCTGCCAATCAATCCACCACCTGCTGCTGCAGCCCCTGTCATACATGATGAAGTACAAGGCTGCACGCCCACGCACGCACACAGGCGCACGCGATTACATTTCCACTGGGAGCTGCTTTTGCTTAGAATCAGCGGCCAGCTATATCAGCCAGCTAAATGGATAGCTTTTGACGACCAAGATGGGGCAGGAAGTGGATAAATGGAAAGACAGGGCCCTGCTGTCTTTCTTCGGGGCGAGCGAGGTGGTGGCGAGCTGCAGGCTGACCTCTTTTGTCGTGGTCCATTTCTTCTCAAACAAAGCGTCTTCCCGCTTATTGCCTGTGTCCGGGGTTCTTCGCAGGCAGCTGGCATGGTCACTCGCGCCGAGCGGCGTTCTCATCTCACATTCCGGCGTGGCCCGCCTGCCGCCCCCTCTTCCCGCCCCGCTAGGACAGCGTCGTATCAAGCGCGCCCTTATGACGGGCAGATGGGCAGTGTGGTGATGAAAAAATGATCAACCCCGGTCAGTTGGGTGCTGCTGCATCCTCATCTCACATTCCCTGCCGGACAGCGACACGGAAGCTGGCACCAACGAACAGCAACCGGCTGGGTAAAACAAGGGGCGTGATCGACGTTCGTCTTCAGCTTACTCAAATAGTCATATACGACTTGTACTCGCGGGCAAGGACTGAAGAAAGGCGTTTCTACGCGCTGCACACCCCCCGGCTCCCTCTGCACTTCCAGTGACAAGCCTTTCGTGCACTCTGCGCGTCAGTCTTTGATTGAATATCGGTGTCGGGTTACGGCTACATCGGAAAGCCGATAGTACAGGATGGCCGACTCAATCAGCCAGCTGCTGTCCTTAGCAGCGGGCAATGAGCTCGCGCTCGCATTCGCGGGCGTGGCGGGACTTTTCGGCCTCTACTGGCTCTTGTCAAGCATCAGGTACGTGATACACCTGCGTGGGACGCGCTGCGCCCGAGCCCCAGGCCCGCCGTCACCGGGCGGCACGCGCGTCGCCGTGGCGACACTCGCCATCGCTCAGCGCAGCCCGGGGTTATCCGGCCAGCCCTGACAGCTGCCATGTACAACGTGCATTACAGGCGCCCCATCGGCGACATGGATAAGATTCCCGGGCCCTGGAAAAAGGCATACCCGGTGGTTGGGAACCTGCTCGAGTGCCTGCGCCCCGACTTCCACAAAGTGCTGCTCAAGTGGGCCGACGACCACGGTGAGCTGCCAGCGAGAGGTTTTGTCAGGGGAGAGGTGCACGCCGCTCGCCTGCCTCGTAGGCGAGCGGGGAGCGCACCGCCACCGATTGAGCTTGGCGCGCAACAAGGCAGACAGCGGCGGCCGCATCGGCCACTTTTGAGGCATAACGCTCGACCCCGGGCCCGCCGACGTGACCCCCCGCTGAAAAATAAACTCATCCCGCGGGCCGACCAACGAAGGCGGCGTGGTGCGCCTCAAGTTCCTGTGGAAGGACGCGCTTATCGTGACAGACCCCCAGGCGCTCGCCTCTATCATGGGCCGCGGGGAGGGCGCGCTGGATAAGGCGGCCGGCGTGTACGCGACCATCAACTACATGTGAGCCCCCTCGGCGCGGCCTGCGGCTGTGGTTTATGCTTGTATATATTAAGTCTGCAACACCACAGATTAAAGTAACCTCTGGATGCCGATCGCCGCGGAGCAGCAGCTGCTGGAGGCGTTGCTGCGAGCCGTAATCGCCGACCGCGAGCCGTAATCGCCGACCACGGGCCCGTGGACCGCATCCCCGCAACCGCCGCCGGCCGCCACGCCTGCAACCCCCACTGTCCAGGTGCGACCCCCACGGCGCGCCGAACCTGCTGACGGGCGCCGCGACAGACACCTGGAAGGCGATCCGCCGCGCGGTGGCCGTTTCCTTCAGCACCCAGAACATCAAGGTGCGGCCGGGGGCGCGCGGCGGCGGGCCGTTTCGGCAGAGCACTGTGGCGGCGGCGCGAGCACGGACTCCCGCTCCACAAAGCCAACCGACAGAGTGGACAGGGCACTCGCACGACACAACCACGCCAACAATCCTCCGCCCTCTCGATTGCCGCTTTTTGCTGATCCGCAGAAGAAGTACCCCCTGATCCTCTCGCGCATCAACGAGCTCGTCAGCCGCGTCAGCGCGCAGGGCCCCGACGCGTCCATCGACGTCGACCAGGCGGCGCTGCGGGTGACGCTGGACGTCATTGGGCTCGCGGGCTTTGGGCACGATTACCAATCGGTCAAGCAGGACAAGCCCGCGTACGACCACCTGCTGGTGCGTGGCTTTTTTGCTGGAATGGATCCCTGGTGTTTTACAAGCTTGCCCTGAGCAGAGGGCTTTACAGCTGGCTGGTTTGCGTGTGTACGAAATGGCAGGGGGAAGATGCAGTCGGTGTGAGAGGGACGCCCCTGCAACAATTACTCAAAGTTGCAACTCGCAAGCCACGGAGGCAACAGGCATCCAACCCATCCGACTCACTCTGCACCGCAACGCCCATCCCCACGCAGCGCGTTCTGCCGCGCTGCTTCACGGAGGTGATGCTGCGCGTCGCCAACCCGGCGCGCCAGGCGGTGCCCTCCCTGTTCAAGGGCGGCGACAAGGGTGAGCCCGCCGCCAGCCGCCCGCTGCTTTTTGCCACTTTGCGGCCGGCAACCCAGCCCCCCGCCGCCGGCGCTGCAGCTGTTTCGGCTCGTCCATTCCCAGCAGCCTGTTTCTGCTTGTTTCTGTTCCCGCCGGGGCGCAGCTCGGCCCCGTTTGGCCCCCCAGAAGCCCTGGTATATATGTGGGTGGCCCCCTGAAACCTTGGGCCCCGCCAAATCCCCCAATAATCGACCCGCCAGGCTCCAAGGCTTTTGACATGTTCCAGGCCGAGATGCGCATCCTGCTGGAGGAGATGAAGCGCCGCGGGCCCCCGCCATCGGGCGACCAGGACATCGCGTCGCAGCTGTACCGCGTTATGGCGGAGAACCCCGACGTCAGCGAGGACCGCGTGATGAGCGAGATCGGGATCCTGTTCGTGGAGGGGTTCGAAACGACAGGTGGGCGCCGCGGCCGGAGGCGTCCCGAGATCATCAGCACGGCGGCGACGGCGGCGGCCGCTCGGCTGGATGGGGTCCGCGGGGCGGCGGTGTGTGAAGGTGTAGCGGGGAGGGGTTGTTGAGGCCGTGGCAGCTGACTTGGCCCTGACCGTTGAGCTGCCGCCGCCGTCTTCCGCGTATTGCAGGCCACACCACCGCCTGGACGCTGCTGCACGCGGCCACCAGCCCGGGCGTGCAGGAGCGCGTTGCGGAGGAGCTGGACGCGGCCGGCCTGCTGTCCAAGCCGGGGGCCCCGCCGCCGCGGGAGATGGAGGTGCGCGCGGCCCCGGCTGCCTTGGTGGTATCTCGTGATTGCTGCTGATCGGGGCGCCTTTCATGGTCGTGATCTGCGGGCTCGCGGGGTTGCCTGGGTGCTCTCTGTGTGACCCTGGAAGCTTCTGCAACTTACTGCGCCTCACGCAATCACCCCATAGTCCAGAATTTTGGTGGTCAAAACAAGTCGGCCTGGTCGCTGACACAGCTCCGCCGTCCCCCATAAACGCCTCCCAAAAATGCCGCAGTTTGAGGACCTGAAGAAGCTTCCCTACCTGACCGCGGTCGCCAAGGAGGCCATGCGCATGCTGCCCGTCGTGTCGCTCATGGGCCGCGTGACCGAGAAGACCGTGCGCGTCGGCAAGTACACCGTGCCGCCGGGCGTGGTGGTCGGCACGCCGCTGTACGCGATCCACAACACGAAGCACAATTGGGAGGCGCCGGCGGAGTTCAGGCCAGAGCGGTGGCTGGACGTGCCCGTGGAAACTTATGTCTACAATTCGAAGAGCGGTGGCGCCGCGCCCGCCGACGCGGAGGCGAGCAGCGGCGGCGGCGGCGCGACGAGCAGGCTGGCGGCGGCGGCGGCGGCGAGCAAGGAGGGTATCACCTTCATGCCGTTCAGCGACGGGCCGCGGTCGTGCGTGGGGCAGTCGCTGGCCAAGGCGGAGGTGCTGACGCTGCTCGCCAAGGTGCGCGGCGCCCCTGCCCACTGCCCCCGGTTTTGTTGTCCGGCGCGCCGCGGCCGCTCGACAGCTCTGCGCCTGGCATGGATGGGCAGCACTCTGGACGCCCTCACTGGCGGGCCCGCGACGCCACCCGCCTGCGCCCCAAACCCTCCACATGCACCGCCCCGACACCCAAAACTTCCAGTGTGCACGTCCAGCCACCCTCGATGCGCTGACGTCATCGCCCATACATACCCACCCCCCCACCCAATACCCACCCCCAGATTCTCGGCAGCTTCAAGCTCGAGCTGGCGCCTGAGATGGGCGGCCTGCAGGGTGTCTTGGCTCGCGAGAGCACGCACCTCACTCTGCAGACCTGCGGCACCAAGGGCATCCGCATGCGCATGACCCCGCGCAGCGAGCACGTCGCCGCCGGCGTCGTGTGCGCGCAGCAGGAGTGAATTCGGCCGGCACGGCGGCGGGGTCGATGGCTGCCGATCGCGGGCCCACTCTTCCTAGTTGGGCGGGCAGACAAAACTGATGCGAGGGGCTTGGGGAGGGGGGGTGCCGTGGGCGGCAGCGGCGGGCGTGCGCGCCCTGAGCGCGCGGCCGGCGGGCTCGACCGTTGCCCGTTTCGGGCTTGCGCCGACGCTGACATCAGCGGGCGTCGAGCGTGCGCCTTGCGCGCGAGTGTTTTCCCTTTGACTGCGCGGGTGGGTGCAGAAGTTTGCGCGGGCGGCGACCCCGGTCCGACGGACAGCAATCCAGATACGTCGTGTTTTCCAACAGTCGCGCCGTCCCATCGGCTTCAAAACATCCGAGCCTCTTAGGCCGATCAGCGCAGCCGCCCCCACGCAATAAATGATGATTAGGAAAGGCTGCCAGCGGCTGTGGTCTGTATGGCTGCTGAAACTCTTTTTAATGGCAGCCGGAGGTCGCTGCAATTGCGACAGAGAGCCACCCACAACGCGCCCGTGCGGCCCGCAGAGGGGCCCTCCGATTGCGCGTACTCATGTGCACCACAGTGCCGCCATAGTCTGTCGGCAGGCGTCTGTTTGTCAGGCCCGAGCACCCGAGTGTCGGACGCCCCTAAAAATTGCGGCACTCGCACTGCATGCCCGCAGCCCGGGCACCGATGCGCGCCTGCACACACTATGCAACTGGCGCGAAAGCCGGGATTGCGGCGTGCCTGGACACCACCTGACAGTTTGACCCCCTCATCCGTTAAAATCTTGCAGTTGTGAGCGCTGTGCGCAGCATATGGCGCGCTGGCGTTCCCACGCCCGAGAAACCACTGTGTAATGACCCTGGCTTTGCGCCGTGACAGGCTTGGGATGCTGATGTGGCGCTGGATGGTGCAGCATCTCCTCCTTTCCTCCCGCCGCTTGTCAACCAGAACATATGCTTTGCACCTGGAGCCATGCGTGCCAACTCAAAAGCCACCTCAGCTTACACGACGTAAGGCACAAACAGCTTGGGGGTTCGAAGGCAATAGTCATCGTATTCGGCCCCAAACGCCGCCCGCAGCACCTCGGCCTCCAGCCGCGCGCGGCGCCGGTAGTAAGCGGCGCATATCCAGGCCGCCAGCAGCGCGAAGGGCGCGGAGTGGCAGGCCAGGCAGTAGCCGCAGAACAGGAGCATGTAGGAGCCGTATATGGGGTGCTGCGGTCGAGGGACGTGGGAAGGGGGGGGGCAGGGCAGACGTGGGTCCACTCGTGCAGAGGTCAATCACAAGGGGGGAGTGAGCAAAGGGTGTTTCGAAGACTGGGAACCAGCCTGCAGGTCGCCTGCCAGGTATTCATACATGATTACAAACCAAAGTCTTGGCATCAGGGGCATCCGTCCGTCCTCCGGCAAATCCTGCCCTGGCGCGCGCCAGCAGTGGGAACCACCGCGCCAGCGGCGCGCCGCCCTCGGAGACGAGGCACCAGGCGCCGCCGCCCCACCTGCACCAGCTTGTACGGCCCGTCCTTCACCAGTTGCTTGGGCGCGACCACTCTATCGTACGCCGACCCAAGGGCGTCCGCCGCCCACCAGTTGAGCCGGATCGCAGCCGCGATGCAGGCCGCCCCCAACAGATCGTACAGAGTGAGCCCCGCCGCGCGGTCAAGCGGCGCCGCTGCGGCGATAGATAGGAACCGACGCAGAGGCAGCCAGTGGATTACGGGCATCGCCGCGATGAAGGCGAGCAGCGACGCGGCCCGCGCGGGCCCACGGCGCTGCGCGTCTTCGCGGGCGGGGGCGAGCGGGCCGTGGCGCAGGATGCGACGCACTGAGCCGCTGGCAAAGAATGCGAAATAGGCGGCGAACAGGAGCCACACGCGGGGGGATGAGATGCCGCCCGGGCTCAGCACGGCGGGCGCGAGGATCAGGGCGGCCAGGCCGGCGGCCAGCTGCAGCGCCTGCCGCCGCGCGGCACGCGCCCACTCGCGCTGCGGCGGCGCTGGCTCCCGCGGCGACGCGGCCGGTGGTGGGGCGCCTGCTGCCGCCGCTGCTGCTGCTGCTGTCGCTGTTGTGGGTGCGTCTGCTGCTGCATTGATTTTGCCATCAGTTGTGTGATTGCTGCCTCCAAGCTGCTGCTGCTGCTGCTGTTTCAGGCGCGCCGCAGCCTCCTCGCGCGCCTTGCGCCGCTCCAGGCCCTGAGTCACAAACCAGAAGGCTTCCTCTTCTGACTCGTCAGCGCCCTTGGAGCCTTGAGTGGCGCGTCGTACAGGAGGCGAGCCCCATTTGCACGAATGTCGGCGCGCTGGCAGCACTGCTGCCGCTGATGCAGGGCGCCACATCGGGTGCCGCTGATCGCCGAGCGCTCGGGTGACAGTTGCTGCATCCATGTGCCTGGGCTCGCTTCAGTGGTTTCTGAGCTATTAAGCACATCAAACACATGTAGGGTGTTGATTGTGACACACATGAACGGGCTGCAAGTGCTTGTAGGCTGCAGAGGTGTCGTTTTGACTCGCGTGCTTGGATTGATCGGCCTGGAGTGACAAGTCCAACCCGGAGACGTGCACCATCAAGTACACGCCACGATGCTCTGCTCACGAGTTCCCACTCGGGCCTCGGCTCATGCACACTGTCGGGGGCAGCAAGTTTCCAGGTGTTGCCTGCGACGCACTGTGGTGCTCAGAGCTGTTCCAGCGCGTGATGGCAGCGAAGGACGGTGCGTCTAGTGCGTCTAGTACCTGTCATGGACAATGGGCCGGTGCCAGGGCGGGTGCGCCGCGCCTCCGGACACCAACTGAAGCCGGCCACTCGCACTCGCCGCAGGGCCGCGGCGGCCGGCATGCTGTCGGCGCTGCTGCTGCTCTCCGGCCCGGGTGGTGCGAGCGCGGGGGATGCTGGAATCGGCACGCTGATCGGGCCGGCGCGTGTCGTCGATGGTGGGTCTGCGTTGGTGGGTCTGCGAGGGGCGGCGGTGCAGGACAGTGCGCCGAGCTCGCACGACGCCCGCAGCTCTGTTTGGGCCGCAAATCAGCAGGCGGCTCCCACATAACACGGCGGCAGGTGCGCGCCGCCGTGGTCAACTCGTCGTGCCTCCTCATGCAGCGCCCCGCTGTCCCTGCGGCCCCCCAACCGCACCCGCCGCCGACCGTTGACGCGCGCTTGCGTGCACGCGCACACCCCATGCAGGCGACACGCTATACGTGCAGGGTGAGAAAGTGCGGCTGTATGCAGTGGACGCGCCGGAGAAGGCGCAGTCCTGCAAAAACGCCCAGGTGCGCCGCGCTACCCCTCCCCGACGCGCCTCCGCGCTCGCTGGCCGAGCGGGGATGTCGCGTTTGGGGTTTGCTGTCTGGCGGATCGACGGACAGCACGGGCATCCAGGCGTCGCACAAAGCGCCGCCACGCCCGCGGCGGCCCCGCCCAGCCTGCCTGCACCCGCCCCGCTGCGCATGCTCACTTGTGGGCCGCAGGGCGCGGACTACTCCTGCGGCGTCAACAGCCTGCAGGCGCTGACAGCGCGCGTGGGCACCAGCCAGGTGCGCTGCACCGTCAAGTCCAAAGACCAGTACGGCCGCAACGTGGCCGCCTGCAGCATCCTATCCCCTGGTGGCGCTGAGGACATGGGAGAGTGGCTGGTTTCGAATGGCTATGCGGTTGCATACCGCAGCATCAGCAAGGAGTATGTGCCAGCGGAGGAAAAGGCGCGGGCGGCGAAGCTGGGGATCTGGAGCGGCAGCTTTGAGATGTGAGCTGGGGATGGGGTTGTGGTGCGCGCTCGGCGGTGTGCGTGGTGGGGGGCCAGGCGACGGACAGCTGGTGAAGGGCTTGCGGGGGACGGCTCCTTTGTGTGGGGAGGGGAGGGAGAAGGGGAAGGGTTGTCGGGTTCGAGCATGGGCAAGGGTTTGGCGCTGCCGAGGCAAGCCGCTGATCCAGTTTCGTCGGCACGCGCCCTCTTTGCATCGACGCAGCCGCGCTGCAGTCGCGGGCCCATGAGCCGCCCCGGCGTCCGCCGGCGCCGCGCGCCCTCGGGCCCGCCCGCGCGCCACCAAACATCGACCCCAGGAAGCAAGCGTGCTGACCTGGCGCCCCCCAAACCCCCCAACCCCAAAGGCCCGCCAAGTGGCGGTATCTCCAGCGCCAGGGCAGCATGGATTCGGGCGATTACGTGATCGCCCCTGCGCCCGCCCCCAAGCAGCAGCCGGCGCCCGCGACCCCCGCCGGCAGCTCGCTGGTCGCGCCCGGCCGCTCTTACGCGGACGCGGTCGCGGGCGGCGCTGCCGCCGCGGCGGCGACCAAGGGCGTTGCGGCGGCGCCGGCCAAGCCTGCGGCGGCGCCCAGCGGGTGCGTGATCAAGGGGAACATCAACAGCAAGGGGGAGAAGATCTACCATACGCCAGAGAGCGGCGCCTACGAGCGGGTGAGTCATCGCGTTCATGATATCACTCGCGCTTGCCCTAGGGGCCCTGCCGCAGGCTCCGTGAAGACCTGCCCAACTTGAGTGTTTCATGAAAGCGAGACAAGGGGCTTTGCCCACCTGATTCGCGCATCGCTGCCGGCTAGTGGCGGGCGACGCGGCCGCATTGGCCGCCGCCGACGAGCACGGCTTTTTGAGAGCAACGCAGCGGCCTCTGCGTCGCGAGCGGTGCGCTCGTTAGCTCGATAACCGCCCAAACCACGAGCTCGCAGCTCCTTTGGCCTGACTGTTTGACTGCCACCGTGACAGCTCCCCTGATGCGACTTTGCAACACTGGAAACGTTTGTTGCAACGCAGACTATAGTAGAGCCGGAGAAGGGAGAGCGCTACTTCTGCACGGCTGCAGAGGTGAGGCCGGCTTTGGCTGGGGCGTCGGGCAGGGATCGGGGCTCAAGGCTTGAGGGACGGCGGCGGTCTGGGTCGAGCGGGGTGAAACAACTACACAGGGCCTGTTGGGGGCGCTTGCTTGACTGGCGGCGTTGCTGCAGGAGAAGGAGGCCGCTTGAGCGAGGAAGCCGAAGGGGCAGGGTTCGCGCCCCTGCTGCTGCGGCGCGGCGCTCGTTCGGCATGCGCGCCCGGCGCGGTCGTGTCACAGCGCGGTCAAGTCCGATGCGGCGCACCAATCCGACGTCGCCCCCCGTCCTTGCAGGCCGAGGCGGCCGGCTTCCGGGCAGCCATCAAGTGAATGCGCTGCCGCGGCTCCGCTGTGCTGTGTGGCGGGGCCGCAGGCGTGGCCCCTGCAGGGCGTGCGCAGCGTCCAGGGCTGGGCGGCAGCCTGTGCTGCTCAACTGTGGCGGCCACCCGCCGTGTGCATGGCCTGGGGGGCGCCGACACCCTCAGCAGCAGCTTTCAGCAAGGGTTTAGGGGTCCTGCAAAACCATCGCGATCAAACACGAAAGCAGCAGCCATCTGCGAAGCCCCCTGGCTCTGGCCCCAACCCATCTGCTGCTGGTTTTTGCCCCGGCACACCTCGCTTCATTTTAAATTCAATCCAGGCCTGCGCAGCCCGCCTTCAGATGAGGGGGTCGCCCCGGCGCGGGCCCACGCACTTTATAACGTATGTGCTGCACGGCCCGGCGCGCGTGCTGATGCTGGGCGCGACGTGGCTTTGGAGGGACACCAGTGACCAGCCTGTTGCCAAGGCACGGCGCGCTTACTTGTATAAGATGTTGTTACTCAACGGGGCGAACAGGGATCTGTCAGGTCAGGTCTGTAAGTCGTCGACCCGCAGGGCCGCGGCCGGCGCGAGGGCAGCGGGGGTGCACGAGCGGCGCGCCTCGTCCACGCATCGCCGTGCAGGGCGGCTTTCGCTGTCTGCTGGGGTCTGTTACGGTGAAGCAGTGCGGCCCGCGGCGCGGCGCCCAGAGCCTATTTCAGGATCAAAAATGGGACCAGGCGTGGCGCCGCGGGCCTGACAGATGCCGAACAAGCGGGGAAGCGGGGCGGGCGGGGCAAGCGTGACTTTGTACGGCGACCGAGCGCCGCGTGCACAGGCCGGAGCCACATGCTTGTGCATGTCCGGCAGGCTGATTTGGCGCCAGGGGCGCCGGGGGGCATCTGCTGATGCCCCCCCTCCTTTTCAATTGTGGATCATGGCAGCAGATCATCATGGGTGAGAGGGGCGAAGCGGGGGGCCATTGAGGGGCGGCGCGCGCACAGGCTGCCGGCAGCGGGCGGATGGGGTCGTGGGGGTGCATGCGTCTCGACGCGTGTCTTGCGGCCGGCCGCCGCGCTCCGCGGGGGTGCGCGGCCCGAGGGTGCCGCGTGTGCGAGTGCGCATTGAGGGAAAGGCGCTTGCGGCGGCAGGCAAGCAGGCAGTCCGGTCCGGGCAGTCCGGGACAGGGGATCGGGCGGGAGGCAGGGGCCTGCTTCATGTGTCGCCGCCGGCGCGGCATTCAGGCGTGCGGCGCATTCCCAGTCATGAAGGAAGGACAGGGAAGCATGAGACGCCAACAAAAGATCTGCCAAATAACTCAAGGCACGAAGCAGCGTGGGGCCACTGTGCCAGCATCCAAAGATGTTTCAGAGCCATCCCACCACCTCCGCTCCCGGTGCCGCTTGGCCATGAAGGTCCTTCATCATAACCAGGTCCCGCGTGCGGCTCGAGGGCAATACAAGATCTCAGATCACCGCGGATCTCAGATCACTCGCCCAGATCGCCGCCGAGGAGGCCGCCGGCCCCCACGTCCTCCAGGAGCGCCTGCTCCATGCTGTGCATCGTGGCCAGCCCCGTGCTGCCTGCCGGCGCGGCCCCTGCCGCCGCCCCCGCGCCCGCCGCCCGCGCCTGCGCCTGCTGCAGCGACCCGCTCGTCACGCGCCCGCTGCCGCCGCTGCCGCTGCCGCTGCCCATCAGCGCGGCCGCGAACAGCGTCGTCGGCATCGGCTGGATGCTCTGCAGGCTGCTCCCGTCCCCGAAGAAGAAGTCCGCGTTCGCTATCTCATTTGAGAGCGTCGGGATATCAAGCATCTGGATGGAAGGCACGCCCACCATCCCGTCTTGCGCGCCGCCGCCCTCGCCGCCCGCCGCCGTCGCGGCGCTGCCGCCGCCGCCGCCGCCGCCGCCC